ACAATGTGGAAAAGGGTCTTTAAAATTATTAACCGTAATATTTAAAAACTAGAATAAATAATACAATAATCACGGTCTCCACTCTTCCTTGCATGAGCGGTTGCCCTGGTTATCATCTGGTGTGAGTTTGCCTTATTTTACATAGGTTCCCTCCTGCCCATCTTTTCTCATACAAGGATTCCCATTTGCTAAATTAGGACTCCTCACGTGGGTAAGGATTGCTCACATGAGAAAGGGGTTGCAGGAAACAGAGGCCTTAGATTGTAGGCTTCGCAGGTGAGTGCACAAGGGGGGAAGAGAACACAAGGAGCCAGGGGTCATTCACTGTTCCAGACCTTGTGCTTCCTGAGCCCAATCCATGTAAGTCTTTGTGCTGGTTCAGGACCACTAAGCAGAAGGACTGAGAAAGTCAGGCACAGCCTCTGGTGCTAGATAATTTAAAGGGAGTATAGAGGGGAGTGGTGTCCAGACCTAGCCTCACTACCATGCTCAAGAGTATAGCAGAGTATGTGTACACTGCCCATAGGAGCATGGCTCTCAGCCAGGGTAGGCAGACACATGCTAGCATAACCAGAAGTTAAGTGGGCTTGTACGCTGGTGGCTAGCCTACAACATCCATGCTATTTTTAGCATGCTAGCTTGAGCAGAGTAGCATGTGTCTACGTACCCATGCAGGGAGGCACACTGCCAGCTGCAGTGCAGACATAACTGCAGAGGGTCAATGCTGCATACATTCCTGTTGTGCTTCTAAATACATTGAACCTGCCTCCAGACCCAAAGGACCTCAGTCTCCATTGATCTGAGTATAAAATGGGCATAAGCAACTAACAAATCAGAATAGCAGTGTTTTTTATATTTACTTTGCACAGGTGATAATCAAGTGCAATGCCTTTCAGAATGACCCACAGCCATATCTACTTTGCAGGTGGTGGTAGTGGTTCACAGGCCACTACAGAACAATGTGTCTGTGAAGAAGCATGTAAATGTAGGGGACTACACGTTATTTTTAAAATTAGCAATAGGAAGATAAAGAGAACCTCCTAATTCCTAATTTTTACAAGAGCTTTTTAAAGTACAATATTTCTCCTGCTTTAAAGGCTTCACCTGAACTGATATGTAACTGATTTATCTAATGCATTTGCTTATTATGACAAAGTTCCTCCACTATCTTGGTGGGTCCTGCGCTTATTGGCGGATTTAACAGGACAACAACCTCATCATAGGTGGAGGGTTCGTTCTGGCTTACCCAGACATGAAGGTCTGGTGGTAGTCCCCTCATGTATCGGTCGATGACCAGAACCGCTAGTATCTCTTCCGGACTATGTTTGCAACCAATTTTGTGCGAGATGGATGAGGTCATACAATTGGGACCACGGGGTTTTGTTTTCCTGGTACCTCCAATCGTGATACTGCTGGGCCCGCACTGCTGTCGTTACCCCAGATCTGGCCAGGATCTCTGCTTTCAGCTGGGGGTAGTCTGCCGCAGCCTCTTCAAGCAGATCATGATAGGCCTTCTGGGCCTCCCCACACAGGAATGGGGCAAGGATGCCAGACCACAGATCTCAAGGCCAGGCCTCCCATAGGGCTATCCTCTCAAAGGCCAGAAGATATGCCTCTACATCATCCTCCCGTGTCATTTTCTGCAGCCAATGGCTGGCCCGTATGAGCCCCATCCCATCGTGGCCGTGATTCAGCTCTGTAAGGGACTTTACCTGGTTTACCAGTTCCCACAACATAGCTCGGTCTTGAGCAGCCTGGTTCATCAGCAGGCAATTAGTCTCTTGCTGCAATCGCACTGCCTCCTGTTGAGCGGCTGCCTGGACACGGGTAGCCTCCTGCTGGGCCACCGTAGCTTGTATCAGTGCCCGCACTACATCATCCATTGTGGTGAAAAAAAATAAACCCTCTCCCTTTTTTTGGTTTGTTTTTTGTTGTTGTTGTTGTGGGTTTTTTTAAAATCACCCTCCTTCTTCCGCCACACTGTGCGCCCCAAGATCCCACCCCAGACACTAGTGTGACAAAGTTCCTCCTCTATCTTGGTGGGTCCTGCGCTTATTGGCGGATTTTCTTGCCTCAGAGATTCACCATGTGGGTTGGGGAACAGCCCAGAAACCTTCCCCTCTGGAAGAACCCACAGTCCAGGTCAATTGGGAGGTTTGGGGGGAACCCAGGCCCACCCTCTACTCCGGGTTCCAGCCAAGGGCCCTGTGGACTGCAGCTGTCTATAGTGCCTCCTGTAACAGCTTCATGACAGCTACAACTCCCTGGGCTACTTCCCCATGGCCTCCTCCAAACACCTTCTTTATTCTCACCACAGGACCATCCTCTTGGTATCTGATAACGCTTGTGCTCCTCAGTCCTCCAGCAGCACACCATCTCACTCTCAGCTCCTTGCACCTCTTGCTCCCAGCTCCTCACACTCACCCCACAAACTGGGGTAAGCTCCTTTTTAAAACCCAGGTGCCCTGATTAGCCTGCCTTAATTGGTTCTAGCAGCTTCTTCTTAATTGGCTCCAGGTGTCCTAATTAGCCTGCCTTATCTGGTTCTAACAGGTTCCTGATTACTCTGGTGCAGCCCCTGCTCTGGTCACTCAGGGAACAGAAAACTACTCATCCAATGACCAGTATATTTGTCCTCTAACAGACTCCTGTACCCTGGCCAGTTCAGGGTCCTTGTGTTTTGCTTGGAGGTTTATATTTGAAAGAGCTCAAAATCTTAAATTGAGCAGAAGCTACCAAGTTTACCCATGGCTTCCCTTCCCCTTCCTGCAACCACACATTTCAAATGGTTTTAATACAATGTCATAAAATGGTCCAGGTTCACTCAAAACCTTTTACAAAACCCACTGGTCTGGGTCTGTCACATTATTTTAAGTGTGGATCTTGAAATCAAGTTTCCCAACCTCGTAAGTTAGGCGCCTTCTCCAAGAGCTCCTAAAGTAACATAGCTGGGGTAGATTGCAAGAACAGTTGTTTGTATTACTTTTGTTCTAGCTTCTCCTTTCTCTTTCTGCCTGCTCTCAGATGGAAAGCCAAACAAACTCCAGAGCCTAGTTCAATACTGCACCTGATATGAGCTTGGAGCAGGACTTGGGTAGGGGAAGAAGGTAGCTTTACACAACCTTTTCACCTTCTCTATCCCAAAGGTGTTGGTGGCTTCTTTGGCCTCCCTGTGCAGGCTAGAAAAGTTTGAGATGCTGCTCAAATTGCCAACAGCCCCTCTGGCCTAGTTCAGCATCATAGAATAACTGTAGTACAGCAGCATGATAGCCATGGCCCATAACCCCGGCACACCTCCTTGCTGGGGAGCTCTTGCAGTGGGGTGGCACAGAGACAACTACACCTACTGAACCTCTAACAGCAGTGGAATCCCCAGAGGCTGGGACTGACAGGTTTACACTGGCAGAATTGGTGTAAAGGGGCCTCAGTAATGAATTAGGCTCCATAAGAATCAGGTTTTTTTTTTTGGTTGTGTGTTGACTTTGTATTCATAGGTTAGGGACCCCAACTAAAATAAAACAATTCCCATTGTAAAAAAACAAACAAACCTGAATTATACTGTTTTATTTTTGTCTTTAAATGCCTGTAATTAATTAAGAAAAGCAAAGTCCTAATTGCTGGAATTAACTCTACTAACTGCACTAATGTCTAAAGAAAAAGTGGTAGTGTGCATTAGAGATTGAAAACAATTTGGAAACAAAACAACCTGAACTTTTGGCTCAAATGGAAATTGCACTTCAACTTACTTTTGGTTAGAAGGAGAGTTCAACTTAATGAATAAGCTAACAGTTCTTGTGCATCAAGATGTCAGATGGAATTGGAAGTAGAAATACCCAGGGGAACAGACTCAGACATACTGGAGACATCACAAGAATAGTTTTCTCACAAGATTCCTATCCTCAGTTATGGATTCAAGGCTCGATTGTCAGTTTACAGTCAATCCCATAGGGAGGGGCAGGAATCATTGTGCTGCCCCTGAAAAAGCTCAGGTGGTGTTGGTAAAAACTAGCAGTAAGTTACCAGCTCCTGTGTGCAAGGAGGAAATGGGGCAATTGTGACTCCTTGCCTCAAAGGGCTACTGCTGGGTATCTAAGTTAGGTACTACCCTTTACACAGAGCTGGGCCTGAAGTCACGATCTAGCCCTTAACATAGTTTTACAAAGCTTAGAAAATATCTTCATGTTACTGCATAAAGCATGCAGAATTACTCACTTTGGCTGAGATTCTTTTCATAGCCATTAATTAAATAAACTTCATGTCTCCAGTCCCATCTCTTTCCTTCCAGTGCTCCAGCCTCACACCCCATCACACAGCCCCATCTGGAATTATCATGCTTTGATCAGTTCAGCTGTGATTTGACTTTGTAGTTAGACATAGCTGGTGCCTCTGATTACAAACAGCTTGAATTTCTATAGGAGACTGGCCTTATTTTAGATCATCTCCTAATTGAAAGGCATCCAACAAGTTCAGGAGCTTTTGTAAGAACACTTCATAAAAGGTAACACTAGAGTTCAAAAACCTTAATTTCTCCTAAGTTACATTGAAATAAATCAGGAGCCTATCCACTGAAGTCAGTGGAATTAGTCTTGTGTAAGACTGGAATGAGTAAGATCAGAATCAAGCCCCCCATCTCTAGTGCAGGGTTTGCTACAGCTTTGCGCACTGGTGTGAGAATTAAATTTGGTGCAAGCTATAGTCTAATTTATAGTGAACTCACATTAACTCTCAGCCATGAAGAAATGTAACATGCCTTAAGTTCTTGGGCTGATAAAGCATATTTTAAGGAATCCCTTGCTATGGAAATGACACCAAACATTGTAATAATACTGGTAAAATATGTGTAGCAATACTTTTACCTGATAAAATGAGAGAATATTGCATTGTCAGCGTACAAAATGTACAACCTGCTGATTTGGATGGGAATTTCATTAAACAAACTCTTAACGCAGTAGCTTGTTTTGTATAATGTAGCAAATGGTTTTCCATTCCCTTACCATTAGGTAACAGAAACCCGGACTGGTCCTCTTGGCTGCAGTAACTATGACAACCTAGATTCTGTCAGTTCTGTTCTGGTTCAGAGTCCTGAAAATAAGATTCAGTTACAAGGTACGTAGGTGCAATTTTGTTATTTTTTTATGGAACAGGGGATATTTATTTTCTCTCTTTTAACCTTTGCTGCCCTCATAAAAGGTCATTTCCCTATTTTTTTGTCCAATAAGCACATTCTGGACAAAGTGAAGGAAGTGTCAGTAACTCCTGTTGTGTTTGCACTAGAAACAATGTCAGTACTGATCAGAAAATAATGTAAGTCTGTTAACATTTTACAGCCTTATTTAGCAATCAATCATGTATGCACTCTTTACCCAGCCAAAACTTCCAAAGTGTACACTGAACAGGAAATGACATTTAGACCCATTTTTACATCCTGGCTCATTTTGTGTAGTCCCAATTGAAACTGATGGGACTATTGGAAGAGTAAATTTAGGCCAGAGTTTTAAAGGTATATAGGTGCCTAAAGATGCAGATGGGCACCTGGAGCCAGATTTTCAGAAGTATTTAGTTGCCTAGTGAGATTTTCAAAAGAAAATAAGCTTGTTAGGCAATTACTTGCAATTAAAATCAATGGGCGTTAGGTACCTATCTGCTTCTTCAGGTGCTTAAATACACCTCTACCCCAATGTAACGTGACCCGATGTAACACGAATCCGGATATAACGTGGTAAAGCAGTGCTCCGGGGGAGGGAGGTGGCAGGGCTGCGCGCTCCGGCGGATCAAAGCAAGTTCAATATAACGTGGTTTCACCTTTAACGTGGACAGATTTTTTGGCTCTCGAGGACAGTGTTATATGGGGGTAGAGGTGTATCTTTGAAAATCTGGGCTGTAGTGTCTATGGCAAAAGTACACAAAAAGGTTATGTGCCTAAGTCCCATTAAAATCCAGGAAACTGAGGCATCTATCCTGTATAAGAACTTTTGAAAATCCCATTAGGTGCTTATGTGGATCTTTAGGTGCTTAAATGCTTTGAAAAATCTACTCATGCCTAAAACCCTAAATCAGCAAAGGTGGCAGAATCTAGCCATTAATCATTGTTTTATCAGTTACACAACGGGTACTGTGTATAGATGCTCAGTATTATTGCAGCTAACAGACCCAATTGTAGTTGCTTTACTCATCTGAGTAGGCCCAATCACATGAGTGGGATTACTTGGTGTGTAAAGGAAGGAAGATTTGGCTCATTTTGCAAATTAAGGCTCCAGCCCAGCAAACATTTGCTGCTAATGCAATATCTACATGTGCAAGTAGCACCCCTAATTTCCACTGAGATGCTCAATTTACTACTTGTATTAAATGTTTGCAGTATCAGGCCATAAATTGGCAAAATATAATATAAAAAGTGTTTTTCAGTTTTCAAGATAGACTATCAGGATTATTTTATCTCCCTGTTGAATATGTCCACATTCTTTTTTCTCCTACATCTGTCTGGCTAGCTGTTTATGAGTACATTAAGGACAGCATAGATTAAACATCACATGATTTTTTTTAAGGCATAAAACAATTGGATAGATGATGTTATTTACTTGGGGGCTCACCTCTTCCACTGTGTCTGCAGAAATAATCTGCCATTTTGGAATGCTCTTTGATCACACATATTTTTCAATAAAATAGGTAGAAAAGTGGTTATTATGTCAATCAAAGACAGATTTGATACATGCCGTTGGATTACCATTAAAAATCATAATGTTATTGCTACTTAAACTATTTTATATTTAATGTAGTCATGTTGAACAAAGGCTCGGGATTGCCTACTGAGCTTTTCTTTTCACTTTGCAACTTCAAGACTTTTCAGAAGTATGTCTATATGTTTACAATCATGCCTAAGTAACAACTGGTTTTAGCAATGGCATCAGTGTTCTCAAACCATTGTGGTATGGCTTTCAACTTGCAAAATTGTATAATATTATTATTATTTATTAATATATTAAAAACAAGGAAGATTTTCCTGTGAACTTGAACAAGCTCCTGTCTACTAGAGGCAGATATAACAAATAACCTCTTATCTATGGACTAGATTATGATACTCTTATTCACACTGAAAAGCAATTTGCTCCGCAAGTATTCCCATTGATTCCAGTCAGACCGCTTGCAGACTTAGATACTTTTCAGTGTTAGAGTATCACAATCTGGCCCCAAAGATTTGGCAAAAGATTAATATTAATAAGGTAGCTGGTTATATTTTATTGTTGTTGTTTAATATTGTACCTAGCATGACTGACAGCCATAACTAAATTAGAATTCAGTAATTACCATATAATCATGCTACTCATTGGCATCATGCAAATAATACTTAGTTATTATAAAAGTAGGTCTTAATTTCCAGTTGCAAGAATTCTGGATAATTACATATATTAAAAAAACAAATAAGATGTATTTATCTGTTAGGAGCAGAGGGAGATTTTTTTCAAGGGCAGGGGCACTTAGCCCCAACCCGCACTGACTTTCAATGAGAGTTTGGGGCCTAACCCCCATTTGTGCCTCTGAAAATCTACCCTACAAGTCTCATTGACCTTCAGTGGGACTTGTGCTCCCAGCTCACTTAGACATTCTGAAAATTCCTTCCGAGACATACAAACCAGTTTGGCGGTAATCATTTTGGTCCTGATCTAATATCTCCTGAAGTCAACAGGAATCCTGGAATAATAAATCTGGCCCTATGGGCCCAATCCTGCAAGGTGCTGAGTGTGCCCCCTTGAGGCACTCCCAGTGAGAACTGGGTTCTCAGCACTTAATAAAAACAGATAGGAAATCTTCAATTATATTTTGTGCAATATCATCGAAATACAGTTGACAATGAATCATCATACTTATATTTTTGCAGCATACTATTAAGACACCAAACACCTACATAAAATGATAAAAGAATGAAGCATAAGCATATAAGTTAAAAAAAGGGGTGGTGGTTTTAGCTCATAGTTTCTGTTCTTCCTCATTTGTCTTCACAGCTTTATGGACAGATAATTGGAATACATTAGACATCACGTTGTGAAAAGGAAACAACAAAAATGTATTAAGAATAATGTGTGACTACCCTTTTTTTTCCTGTTTGCTTCCCTTTCCCCGTGTCTTTGGTTTCTCTACATCCATTTTTCCAAAGTTTACATTAACTGCTAATATCAAGATTGTAATTCCACTGCATTTTTTTGCTACAGAAAAGCCCTTATGACTCTGGCTATTTATTCATCAATTCTTAACAATGTAAGGTTGATATAATCCATCCCCCGCACCTTCTTTTTATACTGACAGTCTCCTCAGAAGGAAAGTACTCCAGTAAACCTTCTATCTGGAAAGCACCGGTTATTAGGATTGATATTCTGAACTCAGATGGAAATAAGGAATTAATCTGAGGTTAAGCCTTGAGAGAGGAAAAATACTATAGGGTGGGAATGCTAGACAGATGGGTAAATTGACCTAATTAGGCCACTTAGTTTTCTTCTGTATCTAAAATGTTACTTTGTCAATATTATATGTAGATTGTTGAATCTGTTTGGGTCAACCCTATCTCACATTTAAATGAGGTTATTCCTATTTTATTTTCTAAAGGTCTTCAGCTCATCCTGCCTGAATATCTGCAGGAGCGTTTTGTGCAGGCAGCTTTGAGTTATATTGCCTGCAATTCAGAGGGGGAGTTTATCTGCAAAGATAATGATTGCTGGTGTCAGTGTGGCCCCAAATTCCCAGAGTGCAACTGTCCGTACATGGACATTCAAGCCATGGAAGAAACCCTGCTTCGCATAAGTGAAACCTGGAATGCTTACAACAGCGAATTTGAAGAGTCAGGTGTGATCTTTTAAAATATTTGTATTTGTGTTACTGAACATCACAGAATTTCCTTAACAATGAGGGGTGAGCAGTCCCTTTTAAGCCCCTGGGACTATGCATGTGCTTAAAGGTAAGCATATGCTTCAGTGCTTTGCTGGATCTGTGCCTTACTCATTATAACTCCTTGATCCCTATAGGACAAATGCTACCCCAACCTCCAACAGGGAGTGGGGACAGTGGAATTATTTTTGGATTTGGGCAGGCTGCTCAGAGAATATTTATCTCCTGTAAGTGATTAAGCCGAGCTCCGTGCGGGCCCTTTCCATGGCAGCGTGAATGAATATATGAGAAGGGGAGGAGACAGATCAGAGAAGGGTCAGCATTGGCCAATTCACTGTTACCTAGATTCTAAGTCTTTCCTTCTGCAGCAGAAATACACTAGAACTGCAGCTGTCACTATAGCCCACCTCTGCTCTGCAGCCTTAAGTGGAAGATTCCTTCCACACTTCCTACCCCAACTCTGCTGTTGAAATCCACCCTACCCAGCTGGAATATTTGGGCTGACCATAGGGATTGGATTTGCCCCTAAATTAACATGGACTTGATGACCCATCCATGTAAGAATTGGTACTCCAAATGCTTATCTACAATCCCCTGAGGACTGTTTAAACTGGACTAGTTCCATCTCATTCCCCCAACACATTCTGTGTCACACTGGCTTTCTTCTAAACATCAGGGTTTGTTTCACACACCATTTCCCTCCTTCTCATCCCCAGGACTTCCAGTCCCATAGAGAATGGAAACTGCAGGTAAAATTGGCTTCTGAACAACTGTTTTCACAACTCATTTGCTCAGTATTATCAGGAACAGCTGTCTAGCCAGCTGGCAGGAAAAGGAAGGAGAGCTCAGGGGAAAAAAAATCAGGTATAAAATAGAAGTGAAGGAATGTGAGGGAGGAGTAGAGAAAAGTGGAAATTGTAGAATGAAATAAAATGTATGGCAGACAGGAAAGATATAGTCTGGGGGTGACAGGACTGAGAGAAAAAAAGGCAATGCAAGAACAGGAAACAAGGGGAGAAAAAGACTGAACATTAAAATTTTTGATTATAAATGGGGAGTGGGAATTTATAAGTACTATGTTTTCTATATTCATTGTTGTAATGAAAAATACCCTAATTTCTCTTTGGCCAATCAGAATTAATTGAGGCTGGGGAATTGTTAATCATCCAACTCCCACTGACTTTCAATGGGATTTGGATGCCTAATTCTCTTCGGCTTCTTTGAAAATGTCAGCTCAAGGCCCTAGCACTGGTCCTGCTCCTGAAATGAGGATGTGGACCATGGAGATCTGAGAGGATGCCATGAATCAACCATTATTTAAAATATTCATATATTTATTTGTTGATTTTTATAAAGCATCCTTCTTTGAAATTCCTCCATTTTGGCATCTTTGTACATTTCTGAAATCACACCTTCACTTAGAACATTATACATCAGTACAATTACATTGTAGGTACTGACAAGCTGTAGTTTTGCCTACCCATATATTGTCCTGTTTGAATGGGAGGTGATATTGGTTAGAGATTCAGGAATGACAGATGAAGCCACCTGGTAACAACAAGTGCCTTGATTCGTTTCTGTCTGAAAATATTCTCGTTTGAGCTGCATTTTATCTATAGATGACTGCACTTCTTTGAGTGTCCACCCTTGGGACATGTGCTGACTTGTGCCAATGAATGGTGGAGCCTTCTACTAGTAGTGTCTGTTAGAGTTCTTGTGCATCCCATTTTGCCCTCCCCTCAATGCTCTAGCATGTTAGTTTAGTATTAAGTGTTTGTAGTTAGATAGTTATAGTTACTGTTGATAGCGGATCCAAAAACCAAGAAGTATGGGTTCACAGCACAAGCTAGAAACAAGAGGCAAAATAGCCTTCAGTCCCTCCTACTACAGGAAGCCTCATCAGTTAAATCTTCCAGGTCAGAGATTTCTAAGGCTCCAGACAAAATGGATAAGAGGCTTGAATCAGCTCCAGTACCCTACAGTTCTAGGAAGCCTTCTATTCTAAACTATCAGGATCTAGCTCTAAAGACTGGGCACTCTCTGATTAAACCCACAGATCTGATTCCTACAAGGGTACAAGTCCATCTGTGACTGAAACTCCAGATCCAAAGATCTGAAGAAGGAAAAAAAAAGTCAAAACAAAACACTTGTCAGTACCTGGGCCCACTCCCCATACTGGGGACTCAGTCTCTTAGACCATGAACATGCAGAGCTGAAGAAGGGATTGGAGTCATAAAGATATGGGGTCATCTGACCATCCTTTTATGTCAGTTTTTGGATCTGAATACTTCCCCGGCACCAATACTGTCTGTTGTTATAACTGCACAATTTCACTCCAAACTCCACTCCTCAGATTCTGTTGGATCTTTGCAGAGACAAGGGAAGAGACGCATGGATAATGAAGCCTGCAGTGTCTCTCCCTGCTCACAAGAAACAAAAGGTAGATACTTCACCACCTGGGTTGTTGCTTATGCTTCCCCTCCACCTGCCTTGAAAACCTACTTTCTCTCGTAGGAGAGCTGTATCACCTCTTTTGTAGATTCCCACATCAGTGGTATCTCCAATTGTCTCCTTGTTGGATCCGGGATATTTAAAACATGTCCCACTAGCTGAAATTGGTAAAGATTGGTGTAGAGATCTATGCATGCTTTTAGTAAGCATTATGTGATAGATAGCTAAACCAGATCAGGTGCCCATTTTTGGCAGATCAGTTCTTCAATCCTTATTTAAAATAAGGCTATTTATCCCCCCATCCTACTCTGATTACCATTGACTAAACCTTCCCAAGTGTGGGAATATGCAGAGGACACTCGAAGAAGAAATGAAGGTTATTTACTTGTTCTTTGAGATGGACTCTGCATATCCACCGTTCCAACCCTTCTTCCCCTCTAAGGAGCACTAGTGTCATTAATGGTGGGAAGAACTGAGATGACAACTGCTACAGTGCTCCCTTTTATAGCCCCATCCTGAGAATGTGCTGGAGTGATAAGGGGAGTGGTGAGAGGGGGCCTCACAAGTGCTTTAACAGTCACTAACAGTAGAAGGCTGGACCATTCAGTACATATTCCAAGTGTGGGAATATGCAGAGTCCATCTCAAAGAACCTCAGTTACAAGTAAGTAACATCCCTTTTTGTTTGTCTCAGACTGTAAATGTGTTAAGCTGCTACATATCATATCTCTTATGATACCATGTTGATTTTGCTGCTGAATATTTAGGTCAATGATAAGTTTCCCAGTAAAAATAATGGCCACTATGGTATTGCAGATTTTCTTCTGTTGCTGCATCTTATTCAAGCAGTATTATTTATATTGCAATAGCACCTAGAAGCCCCACTCATGGACTGGGACTCCATTGTGCTAGCTTCTATACAAAGACTGTTCTTGCCCCCAAAAGAGCTTACTATCTAAACACCTCTTCTCCCTTTGTTGAGAAGAATAGTGACTTTGTTTAATAAGGCGGAGATTCATCAATGTGGTTATGAATAGATACTTTCCCCTGGATGTTAACCAACAGGAATGTTTTGGTTAATTATTTATCAGGTGTCTATTTTAATAAATAATTCCAGTGAGAATTACTGAACATCAATGGGCAGTATCCATCTTAAAATACATGTGGTATTCTGAGGGCGTGGGGGGGCAGCCCCTTACACCAGATCTGAGGAATACTGGATAGAAAGACAGCTAAAACTTAGCTTCAGCTCTACTCCATGGAGTTTATTGGTGTTACTAGAGAGATGAAGACAACTTGTTTAAATGAGATCCCTGAGTCACACACAGTTAAGTTTCACTGCAGCAGTAACAGCCTTGGGCAGTCCACCATGAAGGACAAGATCATTTCCCTAAACAACATGGATGCTTGGAAAGATCTTTGTGCCCCATTGGAGCCTTGATAACTGAGTATAAAACCTGTTTTTCTATGGACTGAGCAATACACAATTCAAAAATACCCAGAGCTCAATAGCACCTTCCCTCCCATCACATGCAATCAGTGCCATCTCTCAGCTAAGGGAGAGCTTGGCTGAAGTCTGAAAGTAGATGAAGAGCAATTCACTGATGCTACATCCAGTAAATATCAAGTGAGGGGAGAGGGATGTCATTTTGAACAACTCAACACCTCTATAACCCTTATATCACCACCCGTCATTGAGGGAATCTGGCCAGAGATTATTAAAAGAGTCTACAGCTTTAGTATTCACCTGGACTTTTCACCACGTATGTATAGTCAAAGCAATGGCTGCAAATATACCCCTTTTTAATCAATATCTGGAAAGCGGGCTACTCCATCCCCATCAAATTTAGACTTAGCCACAAATCTGTGATGTCTAGCCTTATAGTTTTCTGTATCTCAGAAAGAGATTATTTAACATATCAATAGGACAAGAAAAAAGTAAAACCCACTCACAGTGTGCTCTCAATGTGCAGTGAGCATAATGTCAAAGGAAAAAATTGCTAATACTGAAGCCCTACATTTATAAAATATTGGCAATTCAACTATATTTAAAAATATGGTATTGATCTGCATGTCAGTTTAACATGAACACAGCATGTTGGTAATTATTACTAGATTTATTCCTTAAACAATATGAAAGTAGATAAATTATTAATAGGAATTCCATTAAACCATTTCCCTTGACCCCTCACACACCCTTATCTCTTGAATTTATTTCAATAAATGTGGACAATATAGTGGATATGAGTGTCTAAATCCCTTAGGCAAGCTTTGAAAATCTCTGCCTTCCATTTTTAGAATATTTTGTATAAAGACATACACTGAAAGCAAGGACAACATAGGTGAAAAATGTTGTCCGGCATTTGGTACTGTTCTGAATTGGGGGGGGGGGGGGAAGGAGAGGGCGTGACAATGTTTGACAGAAGATAGTGGAGTTTCTATGGGGAATGACAAAATCTGTATAAATCATATTACTTTTTGAAAAGCCCTTCCAACAGAAATTTCACGTAATGTCAACTTTCTATTGAAACTGATAATTATGAGACATTATGAATGCTTTGGATATTCTGAAACATAGGAGATATTATTTAATACATGTTAATAGCATATTTCAGGAAAAACTGTCAAAAATGAAGAGGCCATTTTAAACAGTTCACATTTAATTTCCCTGCAGCAAATAGGGAAATTCCTGTAGTCCTTCCTCAGGCCAACATCCCATTTTAATGGATTTGAGGGCATAAGGGGGTGCAGAGGCCTTTTGTTTTCTTCTCCTAATGAGCCTAGACTCTAAAAGGACAAGACAGTGATGATGGGAAGGGAAATGACTTGTCCAAGGTCATACAGCATATCATTATTGAATTAAAGACTAGAACATAGGCTCCTTTCAGTCACAGCCCAATGCACTACCCCCGTGCTGGTTTTCTGTACACAAAACGGATTTCATCCAGTGTTATTTATGTAACTCAAATCCAGGTAAACATGCATATGTGAGTTTACGAGTTTTCTAACTCTCCTGCTTTCCACTCCTTTTTAGTTTAAATATATAACAAATGTGCCATCAAACAGAGAAACTCTGCCTCAGATAGCAGATCTGTAATTGCTGTTGAGTTCAACAGGGGTCACACACATGTATCCATGGCCAGAATTTGTCCTAAAGAATAAGACTGCAAACATTCTCTTTAAGACTACTTGTCTGCTGTCAGTGTTCTCTCTCCTTTGTCTGTTTCAGATAAAACAATTAAAGGGTATATTTGTAGATTTTCAAAGGCATAAAATACCAGTTCCGTGTCTAACTACCATTTGTGCCTTTGAAAATCTCCTATAGCTCTCTAGTACTAATGAATTAAAAAAAAAAACAAAGAAACCCCCCCTCAAAATGGTTCTCTTAGCTCCACTGCTCCCTAAGAAAAGTAGAGAGCTTATAAAATTTTCTCCTAGATAGAATTGTAAGGCCTAATTTACCAAAATGTATATGTCAGAATTTAAGTACAGTTGAAAGTCAAATTTGTAGATACATACTGCAGTGGCACATGCATATAGCCAGTTATTGTGTATATTTAACAAACCTCTTGCAGACACAGAAAACAGATTGATGCATGCAATCATGTTAAATGCACACCAAATTAGGTGAGCAATTAGCATACACATTTTTGGAAAAAATCAGGTGTCTTCTGCCAGATAGGCACCTCTGAGCTATGGATGATTTTTCCAGGAACAATTCATAGCTAGCAGCAATTTCTCCCTAGGACAGTGATGATTAATAAAGATTTGGTAGGCTAACAAAATTCAAATCTGAAATGTCCCAGTCATTGTTATGTGTAGATTTAATTTAACACACTCTTCTTTGACATCTTACAAGAACTCAAATCCCACTTTGGGCAATGAACATTTCCAGTAGCATATTACTTTTCTCACAATGTCCTTGGCTGGCTTTATCATTGTAGTTTCCCTCCAGAAACTCAAAACACAGTTAGTTCTTTGAGTTTCATGTAACCTCCTAATATTAGAAAACATACTGTGTTTTCACCCAAAGAACTGACAGCTATTTTGAATTGTTTACTCTAAGCCATCTGCTTTTTCCTTATCATATCTTATACACACAGCCATATCTTCTGGCCTTCAGACTTCACTACCACCCTTGCAAGATGAGCAGCTGTTTTCTTATCAAAAATTCATACTGAAACTTTTCATCCTAAATTCTTAGTACATTTCATTAGTGTCTCAAGGACCTTGGCTGAATTCATGTTTAAGCACGATCCTCCATGAGAAGAATATTCTAAGAAGCTGTATTTTAATAGTGGCATAAAGAGAGTGCTTTTGGTCAAACCGAATCCATGTTTCATTTACCCCATTTTTATGTAAAATAAATTGTGCCTATTTTGACATATATAATGCCTCTGAAATTATGCCAGTTACAAATGGGTTTAAAAATTGTGTAACTTTTCCAGTATCACCTGTACTTATAACAACGTTCAGGAAAGCACTTAAGCAAACACATAATTTTCAGCACAGAACCTATCCCATTGACACCCATGTGCTCAAGGACTCCATCCAATATCCACGCCAAGTGGTGCTGAGTCAGTCCCCAGAGCTTTGATGGACTGGGATTATAATAAGCATACTCATTTTACTGTGTGACTGTCAAACCAGCATGATGAATACTATTTGTGAAGACGACATTGTTAACAGTACATTACTATTTTAAAAGGCTTTCTGGATTCTCTTAAGCAAGAATAAAAAATATCCCATGTAAAGAAGAAGGATTGTAAGTATTCTGCTATATCAGCTACTAGATCTGTAGAAAAAAACCTTTCCAGAGGAAGTCTTTGTGAGGGTATACAAGGGTCAGGTCATGACCCACTGAATGCCCTAAAATCCATGGAGACCCCTGCACATCATGGAATCATAGAATATTAGGGTTGGAAGAAACCTCAGGAGGTCATCTAGTCCAATCCCCTGCTCAAAGCAGGGCAAACACCAACTAAATCAT